CTGAGAAGCTCAGATCAAAGGGAAAAACAGTAACTCAATAGGACAGCAGGGTGATGGATGAGGACATGGTTAGGATGGGGAGGACCTCAGGTGTTTATAACCTCTGGGGGAAGAACTGATATAAGAAAAGTTGAGGACATGGAAGACAGAAGTGACACTAGATGAATCAGAGTGTTTTAGGGAGAAAGAAGAAGACCTGGATCCCAATTAGCTTCAGACAGGACAACACTGGACCTCATCTTCTGAGACCACAGGGAAGATGGGGCAGATAGAGATGAATGTGTATACACCACAGCAGAAGTTAAAGCCGTTATTATTTTCCTTTGAATGAAACAGGAGTGGAGGTGCCTCCTGAGAGTGATGGGGAGAGATCAGAGGGAAGTCAGAACGGTTTGGAATAACTGCCCAGGAAATGAGAACAGCGACTCCCCAGTGACAAGGCACTGGCCGTCTCTACAGCTGGCTGAAGTTGTGCCTATCAGCATGTGGACCTTGCAGGGCAGGGTGAATGACTATGGTTGGGGTGTATTGGGCTTGGGGTGAGGATCTAGAAGAAAATGGGGCTCAGACCCTGCTCGGGAAACCCAATGTGTTGTAAGGGTAAGAAGAAGTTGGGAGAGCCTCACTGCCCCCCAACTCTCATCCACAGAGCAGTAAAAGGAGGATGGGAAGGAGAGGTCAGGCATGCAGCGGGGCCAACGTGAGCATGCCAGCCCCTGGACAGCCCAGGTACCACCTGCCGCCAGACATTAAGAGAAACTCCTGAACAAAGTATGACTGCCTCCACCCAGCGCATAAACTCCCTCCCTGCGGCCACAAAGGTAATTTAGTGTCTTCGTCTCCAGAAGCTCTTGCATTTATCAGCAGCAGCGGCACGATTCCTGGGGCTGTAAATCATAACGCTTTAGGTGTATTTCTCTTGAGTTGATATCCCCCTATAAATAATGTGGGGGATGCTTTTATTTTGTTGGCAGAAGACTGCTTTCTCCCGCTCTTCTGTTTTTAGAGTGACCTTCTTTCTCAGTCAAATGTGATATATCCAAGAGGCTCATTTACCGGGTCTTCCCACGCACCAGGTAATACGGGAGCAGGTGTAAAGAGGAGTCCTGTTCTCTAGTATTATACAGCCTCCCAGCAGAAAGGACACACATATCTATTCAAATTGAAAATCCAAATGGCCTTTGACCCAGAGAATCATTTACCCGTGTTTATAAGGATGCATATTTTTCAAAACTTGACATGTTAATAGCAAATACCTGGAAAGCACCTTAAAGTGAAATAAGGGCACTACAGTTAAATAAAGCATGGCACCTTGTGCAGGAATTATAAAGAATGAGATGGACTTACGCATACTGGTAAGGAAAGATCTCCAAGGTGTATTGTTGAGGTAAAAAGGTATGTTGTAAAAATTTATGAAGAGCATAACATAATTATATAATTTATGTTTTTAAAAATCCCGCAAATATGCTGTGCTATATATTTGCTACAAGTACACGCATATGTTTACAATATATACATTTAGAAAGAGATGTAGAAGGATATACACCAAACTGAAGATGATGGATCGTTCTGAGAAGGGAGCTTAAGATTGCAATGGTGGCCAAGGGGATTTTAGCCTTCTGATACATTGTAAGTTCTTTAAGAACGGAAGTATTCACAGATTACTTGTGCAACTAAAAAGAGCTAGAAGTCAAGACACCTGTACTCTGGGTCAATTCATACTATAAATTTGGATAAGATACTTCCTTCTGCAGACTTCAGTTTTTCCCATCTATATACTGAGCAAGCTGGGCTGGATAATCCTAGTGGTCCTTTGAAACTCAGAATGTCTTGAGTCTTCAAGCTGTAAATGTATTCAAAGGAAGGATTTTCAGGCTCAGTGCCATAGGATCTGGCACTTGGTCTTGGCTGAACATTGAATGTTGAATAATAATCCTTAAGCAGTTTTAGTATTAATAAACAGAGGTCAGATTTTTCCAGTAAACTACATCAGGTGAGTAATCTACCTCCTGGATGAATGTCAGAGAGCTGTGGTAATGTGGCAAATAAAATAGAGGTTTTGGAGGGATTCCAACCTGGATTCAAATTCTGGCTCTTCCACTTAACTGCTTTGTGCTATTAAGTGAACTACCAACCATCTCTGCACCACAATCAATGCTAAGCTGTGACCAAACACAGTTAATATTTCTGCTCCAGCTTTGGCGCTCTGGTCAGTTATTCATTCAACAAACGTTTATTGAGCACCAACAGTGAGCCAGCCCTGGGTATGTAAACATGAGGAAGACAGACAAGAAATCCCTTCTTACAGATGTGTAGGTATCTGCCTTGCCTCCTGTCCCTTCCGTGTTCCTGGTGCAAGCACTTTCACTCCGAACAGCAGCTGAACATGATCAAGGACTTGGAAGGGGAAAAGGAAGGAGACTGGATGGGGTTCTCTGGGGGATGCTGGAGATGCCTGAGGGGCTGCTGCAGGAGCAGTAAGACCATCTGTGCATGGATCAGTGGCTCCTCCTCTGAGTCTCAGATTTCTCTTCTGTATCATGAAGATAGACAGTGAAGTCTATCTCCTGGGATTCTTCTGGGCATCAAATTACTAATGCTGATTTAAAAATGGCTATTTTTTTTTTTTTTAGCTCTTTCTAGGGGCCAGGCTCTGAGTGAAAAGTGACCTGTTCATTATAACATTACCCCTGACAACCGTCATGGTTTACTCAGGAGGAAACATGAACAGAGAAGTTAAGCAGCTTGCCCAAATCTCACAGCTGCAGATATGCAAATAAAGAACGTAATATTATTTTTAAATCTATGTCCAGGTCCATACATAGTAACGATTTAATAAATGTTTATTGAAAGTTACATGTACTGCTTTGTCTTGTTGTTCTTTAAAAGTTCACTCTAAAAACTATACATTGTATATGTTTTCCTATAGATTATGCTTTCTAGTTCAGTGCTAAGAGAATTCAGTGAATTTGAAAGCAGCCAGAACACTGATTAAAGATGAATCTCTGTATAGAATAACAATTCTAAAACTTTTCAACAGGCTATTACAATGTAAGAAGTGCCTACTTTTTGTTATTTGACAATTATCAATTATATCTTAATCACTTATAGCAAATGAAAAAAAAAAGAATTGGAATCCAGACCCTCTGACTTCAGATCCTGCACAGAAACCACCATACCATACTGAGGAAGGAGACCCTTAATCCTCTTAAGCTTCTCAGAGCCCTCCCCCCTAGACTTCTACATTGCATTTCAACAGGAGAAGTAAAGGCAGGCAGACGGGGTACCACCTTTAATCGCACTCCTGTAGATCACAGGCATGGTATGGAGAAATCTTTCCAGAAGGTACTGTTTTTACTTAAACATGATCACACCCACAACTAAGTCACGTACCCCATGCCTACTTCATGGATCAAGATACTTTCACATGTAATTTCTAGAGTTGTAAGTCTTTAAAAGGCAGGGACTTCCTTTGTTAGCGGGGCTTGGCTATTTGGGGCATTCAGACCCACTGCAGCTCCCAGCTGAATAAACACCCCTTCCTTCCCAGTTTGGCGTTCCAGAGGTTTTGTCTGTGGGCTCTCCCACGACTACTACATCCCATTCAAACAGATGCCAAACAACTTACGTGAGGCTGTGATTCACAGGCTAGGATCCTTATCATGTACCCTAATATAATTATAATTATGAAACTTGGTTATTAGGTTAACGAGGATTCACATTCTTCTCTGGCTGCCTCCCATTTTCCTGCTGCCACTGGCAGACAGGCTAAAGCAAAGGTATTTAGTTTCAAGAAGAAATAAAGTCCTCATAGTTCGGAGTTCACAGAGGACACAATTCCCTTCTCCATACAGGCCTTTGTTTTTAATTAAGAGCAGTAATCAGATAATCTTGCTTTAATTAACTCCCCAGAACCACCCCATTCTTGGAACCTCTCTTTGATATTTTCACATCGAGTCTTTTAGCCTAAGATTATCTGCAGACATGCACCAGACATTTACCATTTGCCAAATATGCCCAAAAGGTTAGCAAAAACTCCCACTCCCTTCTTTTTGTAAAGACAACTCCTGTATCAAAGCAAATAGGTTTTGAGTCAGGCGGGGTTGTCTGGGTTTGCTTCATGAATCTGTGATTTTTTTTTTCAGTCTTATCACATTGGTCCTTCCGTTCACAGAAACTGTGTGCATTTCATCTTAATTAGGCATCTCTTAATCCGTAATATCTGATTTATGGCCATTTACTCTTAATTACAAGAGGGCCACCTTTGAAAAGGGAAACCAAGTGAGCTCAGAGAAATGGAACTGAAAAGCAAGAGGGAAGGTGGATGACTGAAGTTGTACAACTAAGGGTGAATCCAAAGGCCCATTTGTTGGAGGCAATTATTGTTGGCAACCCTGCAGATTTGTGAGGGTCCCATATCAGGCCACACGTGAATTCATCCCTTTCTATGGTAAGGAAATTATATGACTAAAAATAAAGCTACAATCCAAATAAAGCTAAAATCTCCAGGTGATAAATCATCTAGCCCAATTTCTTCATAATGACTCTCCATTTTTTTAAAAAATGGAAGTGAATATGTTTATTAAAATTTTGGGGGACCTGTCATTACCCATAAATGGAGAAAAGAGTACGACTTGCCTTAAATAGAAGGCAACTAGTACAACTATTACTATTTTTAAAAATGCTCACCCTGTGGTATTTAAAGACCTGGAAAACCGTGCTCCAGAGAGGACTGCATTAGGTCCTCATTGTTTCAACCATTCGGGTTGGTAAATAAAATTATATTCCATGTTTCGCAGATGAGGAAGTAGAGTTTCAGAGAGGGCAAGGGATCTGCCTAAAGTCACAGAGCCAGGACTGGCAGAGTTATATCTCAGACTTTCAGGACCATGCTTATTCTTGCCTATGCCAGAGGAAGTGAGAGACTTGAACAACAACTTGCAAAGTCAGAGATTCTTCAAGCTATTGGCCATCCAGAGGCAGCAAGAAGACGCTCTTACCTGGGGCTGAGGATGTGGCTGCTGGTGGCTGACTGTCGAGAGGGAGTCCTCATAGTATCTGTGGCCAGGGACAGAGTACAGCTCAACCAGGACTGCAGACTGCCCTCTGGCTGGGAGCTGAGGATGGAGACATTATCCCTAGAATAAGATTGCAGGGCACTATCAGCACAATGACAACCACAGTAACAACAATAATTAGATATTCGCCCATAGCATAAGCCAGGCATTGTACTAAGTGATATACCTGCGTAACTTCACTCACCATCCCAGAGAAGTAGGAGCCAGTGCTGCCACAGTTACACAGATGGAATTACTGAGACGTGGAGAGGCCAGTCTGGCTCTTGGCCAAGGTTGCTCAGTTCGTCAATGATGAAACTGGGATGCAAACCCTGTTCCTTTTTATTCCAATGCCCATGCTATGAATCATGGCACTTTTCCTTGAGGAGATGCACACTTCAATTCAAATGTCGAGGTCTCTCCAATGTGGGAGTAAAGTTTGGCATTGGATTTGATATGCTCAGGGAATATATCAAGTGTGAAGGTCTTAACTCCTTCCTTACCTTAGTGGGATCATCTTTATAAACAGGGACTTTACTTTTATGCCCCCTAATGCTGAAAGCAGCCCTCACTGTTTTCAGAATTAGGGGACATAAAAGTAAGAGAGGGGGCCCTCACATCTCCTCAATGAATCGACATTAGTTGATATACTCGCTCAGTATTATGTATATGTGTGTGTGCGTGAATATGCATGTGTGTATCTTCATATATTAATATGATTTACGTGTGTGTGCTGTATATATATTATAACATGTATAGTGTTTTTTATAGGATACTCTATGTGTGCCAAGCACCTTGGGCAGAGGAGCTGTCCACGTGAACTTAACATTGAACCTGTCCTCAACACTCCATTTCTATAAATAGCCATACAATTTTTAAAAATTATTAATGTTTTATAGAGGCACAGAGGAGGGGTTTTATTAGAATCTACCCTCTGTCCTTCCATAAAGCACCAATCATTATTTTTCAAAGAGGGAGCCTTGATTTGCTTCGCAAAGGCCCGAGGAAAGACATCGAGTAGTGATATTTGAGATACATCTTCTTGGAAGGTTGGGGCTTGGCCACGCAGGGACAGAAGAATGAAATTTTTGGTGGAAGGATTCATGTACACATAGGTACAGAGGTCATAAAGATCAGAGCATAAGCCATATGGAAAGCAGGAATCACAGCTAGAGGGCAAAGTAAGGGTCCAAATGTCAGTGTAAAAAGTCTACTCTAGGGCAATAGGGAGCCTTTGAAGGTGTTTGAGGACAGTGGCATGAGATGGCATAGGCTTCTATCTGTCTAAAAGAAACTAGGGCAATTTAATACTATGTCTCTAGTGCTGTATGTTATAACCATGAAGGCATTAGTCTCACAGGCATCACCGATAATTCTCTAAGTGGACATGGATGTTCCCTCCACAAACTGGACACAGAGGACCAGGGGCTCACCCTCGCCAGCTGCTCGGTTCTAGTTGGGGTTAACTTACATCTCTTTTCTGCCACTGCTGCCACAATCCACCGCTGTCTGGACACTAGCAAGAGATGGAAGAAACAGTCTGTTATCCTTGTGCTGCCAGGGACTTGGGAACATGATCATTGACTTCAGACAGACATGGGTGTGTGTCCCACTTCCAACCTTTCCCCCTGTGTGATCTCAGGGAAGTCACTTGCCTTCCCTGAGCTTCCTTTCTTCCTTCCTAAAATGTGGCAAATAAAGGGGCTCTGTTGTGGAGCAGAGTAAGTGAGATGACCCTTGTAAAGATCTCAGCATGGTTCCTGGCAAATAGATAGTGCTAATTAAGTGGTAGCAACCATTACCACCGCTCTTGTTTTAGTACAACTAGTCCTGCTATTATTAACCGCATTGTTATTGCTACAAGCAAGGCATTTGCTGTATGTTCTTTGTGAGTGCTAGCAAATCAGACACAGGGCAGAGCAGCTTCCAAGGGCATTGTGGGAAACTCCAAAAGTAATTATGACAGTAGCTATTCTTTAGAGAGCACCCCTCCATTCAACAAATATGCTACACACACAACCTTATCTACCTACCCCATGTGTCTCCATGCTAGAGATGAGGAACCTGACACACTTGTCTAAGTCACACAGCTTTTGATCCTGGGCCTGTTAAGCTCATGCTCCTAACCAGCATGTGATTATTCAGTGGGTGGGTGCAGACAGTCAAACCGCAAACCTCAGACACCTAAGACAGCATTTTAATCTGGATCGTCAGGCTGGGGCCTCACAGTGTTCTCTGCTGTAATCTGGACAAGTCCTCTTTTAGAAGACCTAGCTGTTTCCTCCAAGAGATGCACCTGCTGCTCCCTGGCTCCCACCCTCAAGGGCCTGTCATCCTGGGGTCTTCTATTTGCATGCATCTGTTCCCACCAGGCAGTGACCAACATCCCTTGTGGACCAAAAACAACTCTTATTTCTACTTTAGCTCCAGAGTTCAGCCCCAAAGCTCAGCCAGACCAGAAGTTCTCGGACAATGCTTGGTGAATCCAATAGAAGAGAAGTCAGTGAACGGCAGCCACGGTCCAATTCTAGCCTACCATTTGTTTTCATAAATAGAGATTTTTGTCTCTGATTGCTTTTGCACCATAATAGCTGTGCAACAAAAACCATATGGCGTGAAAAGGCTAAATACTTATTATCTGCCCTTTCAAAGAAAACGACTCTGCAATAGAACAAAAGCACCTTTTGTGAATGACCTCGTGGTAGGCAGAATAATGGCCTCTAAACATGTTCATACCCGAATCCCCAAAACAAGAGAATATGTTTCCATACAGGGAAAAAGTTTCATTGGAACACAGTCATCCATTCATTTACATTTTGAGTGCTTCCTCACCTGCTTTGACTAAACACCAGTCTTTACTTGAACCCAGTACTCAGAAAAGTCTTTACAGCCCAATAACTAATCAAAGCACATGCTGGTGTTAGTTCCTGTCCACTACCTACCCTGGCCAACTCCATGAGTACTAGCCCTATGGGTGGACTCGGCATTCACGTTCACCCTCTTCCAAGGGGCTCTTCCCCAGCACTAGAGGCCCATTCACTCCATAATGTCTAATCATGCTGGGAATCTTCTCATCTCTTTTCTCTTCTGCATGCTCCTGCTCTCTGACCCACTATGTGTCAGGGGGCTGATCTGTATGGACACCATCAATGGGTTCCCTGTCCCATGGCTCTCTCTTGGGCTCAGCCAATACGGAATGTAGCTGACAGTTGACAGGAAGGAGGGAAGAGAGGGAAGCTGAAGTACTTATTGTCCTGAATTTCTGGATTTCTCTCCACTGCCTCCAACTCTCAGCCAAGGGCCAGAGCTCCTCCTATCAGCCTCTCTATCTCTCTTTCTTTCTGGATTGCAGCAATTGCACCCTCTACTTCTCCCTTCACACTTTGCAGGAGTTACTGCTCTCCGTTGCTGCCATTCCCTAGGTGCTGCACCACCTATTCCTTAGAGCTTCCTCACGCCTTTGTAAATAGCCCTTTTGTTAAGCTCTCTTCATTTAGAGTTTGTCTTCCAGTTCCCTCCCGACTCTATTACAATAGCTAATCTCAATGCTTTTTCCACCTTAACAGAAAGATCTGCATTTACCATACCGATAGTTTACATGACAAAGAAGCAGACAGGAGGCATGACCCAACATTGCTCTGCTAACTACTGTTACACCCTTAATCACAATGTCACAATGTGAAGAATCAAAAGAGGCAATCTTATAAGAGGCTAGATTATCAGCAATCATTGTTAGCCCCTCCTAAGCTTCTGACTCTGGAAAAGAACTAGCCATAAGGACAAAAAAGATGAATCCTTATTAATCCTACATTTTTATAGTATCTGCACACTGATTGCTTTTGCCTGTGAACCTGTTTCACTAAATTTGCACAGAATATCTAAGGCTGAAGTCAAGACCCACCAGGTGGTCTATTTGTTTATTCATGATGAAATACTGTCCGTAAAAGAGTGGTCTCTGGCCTGGACCACACACTTCCTACAAGTTAAGATGGACTTAAAAAATAGAGAGAGAAAGAGAGAGAATGTTTAAAATAAGGAGGTTGAATTAAGAAGAGCTTTGGGAGCCGGGCGCGGTGGCTCACACCTGTAATCCCAGCACTTTGGGAGGCC